AAGATTAGAACAGAAAATCTTCTATTTCGACGAAGTTTTATTCGCTGAAGGCTCCTGGTATGAACCACCCTACTCCCGTGACTATACCCTGTTTGCCGAAGAACAAATTGAAGCAAACAAGGTGGCAATTCGAGAAAGAGCAAAACTTCTTGAATCAATCCGGAAAGAAAAGGAGTTCAAAAGGAGATTATGCGAAGGATCAGAGATGATGCAGAAAATGTTGGATGACTTCCAAAGAGAGAGACTAGAAGCCGAGGCTAAAGCTGATAAATTAGTCAATGATCTCTGTAAGGCTGTTGAACTTAAACGCTCCCTCCAATCTCAAGATCAAATGAGGGAGGTTAATGCTCAAAACGAGGCTCTAGAACCTAAGACCAACCCTAAACCATTCAACCATCAGGTTCCAGTTCTAGAAGATTCACCAAGTTTTTCACCATCACAGAAACCCGAGAGCATAACAACTCTCGCTAGGGCTACTGTGGTGATGTTACTGTCATAAATGAAGGAGTACGTGTGAATATGCGCAGCTTGGTCTCGTTTAGCATGGGCAAGTCCTTCCATGATGGCGTGTGGTGTGATATGATCGGAGAGTTACTTATGATGGTTTCACCAACTCGTATTCATTTGTGATGGATACAAGGAGAATTACTCTTACCCCGTTAATACCATCTACCCTACTGCACCAAGCACAAACTCCATCCATACCCTCCATTTCTATCAAGTCCGAAATTCCAAAGCCCAAAGAGTCACTCCATGAACAAGTTCTTGAGCCAAATCAGCCCTCGGGCCTCTTTGATGATTCTCCACCCAAACCCCTCCTTGAAAGAGGAAACAATGGAGTTTTGTTACTACTAATGGCCTTTGGTGCCAATCTCTTTGTGTTTAATTTGCAGGGAAGCCATGAAGAAATACAAGGAAGAAAGAACACTTATTCTAAGTGTTCAAGAAGACATTTGCAAATTTTCATTCTCCGAGAATGGAGACCCATGATTGAAGGTTTTGATTTAATCAAGTTCAACTCCAGCCCCTATGAAGAGCTTAAAAACAATTTGAGTTTGAGGGCAAACTCTTCCGTAGGCCACCAAAGGAAAGGCAGATCGGGAGAATAAGGCCAAAGTGTGACAACGTTGTTTGGGTTAAATTCACTATGTTGCCCTATCTCAAAGCCCAAACCGACACCGTGGTTGCCCCCTACACCCCCCTAGGCCGAACCAACACCCCACCCAACCCTGAACATCCAAAAACATTTCCTTTTTCAAAATAAAGTTTTTCCTACTCTTATTTTAGCCCCTAGCCAAAAATAAAAATGTGTGAACCAAAACCTTTTATTTGTTGTTATTTTCCTTCTTTTAAGCCTTTCCAATAAACAAATAAAGCCCTCTCTCCTTCCTTTATTTCCTGGCCAATTAAACCTCACAATCCCAACATAAACACCCACAAAAGGCCAAAACCCTGACCCACCACTAGCCACTCATTCCTAACCCAAACCCATATGTCCAAAACCACCCCTAATATTGCCCAGCCCTGTCCCCTTTTGTTGTACCCGAGAACCAGGGTCGTATCGAGTAGCTATTTTGTGGCGGATTTGCGGAAGGAAATGAATGATGAAATTGAAGGGGTGAAATATGGAGTGTGGGAAAGAGTTCTTTTTGGTGTTTTTAATGAGAGAAAAGAAGATAAAAGCCCCAAGTTAAGATAAGAGTGTGTCATATCTCTTAACACCAACTTGGTTTATCCCTTCACTTTATTTCTGTCCATTTCATTCCTCACCATTTCTTCTTCTTAAACTTATTCTTTTCTCTCATTAAAAACACCAAAAAGAACTCCTTCATCACCTCCATATTTACCCAGCCATTTCCAACAATCGATTATCATAAAAGTGATAATCGATTATCGGGCATCTCTGAACATTCGTGGTTTGGAAATCATATCTTGTTAATCGATTATCAGTTAATGATAATCGACTATCACGCGTTTCTGAACTTTGGAGTTCAAAGTTGTTTTCTTCTTGCTTCCATTTCCTCCGTAAACCCGCCATCAAATTAGTTACTTGACAAGACCCCGGGTCTTGGGTACAACATCTAGTATCGGAGCATGCTGTTCTACATCCATAAAGGGACCCCTTTACACCCTTCCATAGTCTAAGATAAGCTTTTGGTTTGTCTAAGTCATGGAGACTACCCGGAAGACCAAGAAACGCAAACGTTGCAAGACGAGGCTTCGGAAAATTTCTTCCTGAAATTTTCAGTGTAAAGAATAGACCACGGAGGAGGTTACATATCATATTTCGAAGTGAAATTTTCACGGCTGAAATATGAAAGTGTTGGCTTCATTTTGCCGTTGGTTTCGCTCAATTCTGAGTTGTGGTTAGTGAGATGCGCCCACTCGAAGTTGAAGACGAAGTTCTGCCTATATCCTAACTACCTTGCGAGTTTGGTCATGAAAGAGTAAGCAAAGCTCTATCAATGATTCTGCATTTTTGGTATGTGTTAAGGGACTTCAATATCTAACTATGAGAATTCGAATCTTGTCATTCCAATCTCTGGTTCTTGAGATATGGACTTCCCAAAACGCCTCAAAAATCTGGAAATTATCTTTGCGAATGAGGCAATCTATAAGGTTTCAATAAGGTTCCAAAGATTACACAAGGAGGTGCGAGAAGACTTCGGAAAGAAAACAAATTGGTGGGTCATTAGATTCTTCCTTTTATTCGGGAATTCTCTTATGAACTACTCATTCTCCACGGTGGTGTGAAAGTTTGAGGACAAACTTTCTTTGAAGAAGGGGAGTATGATGTACCCCCGGATGGCTCAAGCAAAACCACCCTCTCCCAAATATCCAAAAAAGTTTTCTCTCCTTTCTTTTATCAAAAATAAAATCTTTTCCATCAAAATGAGACCAAAGAAGACAAAATAAAACCTTTGTTTCTTGTTTTTGCCTTTTCAAACAAAACCACAAAATATTCTCCTCTGTCTGTCCTAATTTTGATCCTAAAAGCATGAATAATCGATTATACATAACTAATAATCGATTATCTGTATTCTCAGAAAATACCCAGCTTTGTGCAAGCCTTGTTAATCGATTGATCATGCTTGTCAATCGATTATTGGGTTCCTCAGAACATTCCCAGTTTGAGCTAAACTCTATTAATCGATTTACTAAATGTGCTAATCGATTATTCCATACCCTGAATCCTGAGTGAATCTGTTCCTGTTTATTTATCCTAAGATTGGGTATAAGGCTAAAATTAAGTCCTGATTTTCAACAAAGAATAAAGCCTTTTCATCCACAAAACAAAAGCATAATCACTTTTGAAACAAAGGAACAAAATTCAAAAACAAAGTCATTGAATGAATAGTGCTGTTTTGGCATTTTATTCACAAAAGTCTAAAGCTTGATTCCCCTTTGTTTTCTTCCTTATATGCACGAAATTTCCCCCTAAATAAACCCAAGGAAGATCAGCCCAAAATCAGGAGAAGCATCTTGGAAAATCAGCTCACATGGATGGACATTAAACTTTGATTTTTAGGAAAGAAGTAGGAAGTTTCCTTTATTGTATTTTTCTTTATTTGTTGTTGTACTTCCCCTCCATTGTGACCTATATATACACAGCCATATGGCCATTGTAAGGGAGCCATGGATTGAATAAAAACTTCTTTGTTTTACTCTTTGAGTAATTCTTTAAAATAGTGTGATGCTATTTTAACCAAATTTCCTAATGAAATATCTCTAAAGTTGGCTACTTTTGAGTGCGTGTTAGGAGTCTAATTTAATACATTAGTAGTGATTATTAATGAGAGAAAAGAAGATAAAAGCCCCAAGTTAAGATAAGAGTGTGTCATATCTCTTAACACCAACTTGGTTTATCCCTTCACTTTATTTCTGTCCATTTCATTCCTCACCATTTCTTCTTCTTAAACTTATTCTTTTCTCTCATTAAAAACACCAAAAAGAACTCCTTCATCACCTCCATATTTACCCAGCCATTTCCAACAATCGATTATCATAAAAGTGATAATCGATTATCGGGCAACTCTGAACATTCGTGGTTTGGAAATCATATCTTGTTAATCGATTATCAGTTAATGATAATCGACTATCACGCGTTTCTGAACTTTGGAGTTCAAAGTT